CGCAGCCTTTTCGCGAGCCGGGCGTGCGTCCCCGCATCTTGCTGTGCGCACCGCCCGCGCGCCCCACGCTGCCCGCGCCGCCCGCACCCGCTGCGTCCGCTGAGTCCTCTGGGCGCCCCTCGCCCCCCACGCGCCCGGGGGAAAGTTCCTACTCGTCAATTTCACACGTAATTTACAATAACCACCCGGATTCTTCGGCGTCGCCTAGGAGACGGCAGGGCGAAGCGGCAGCCGCTTCTTCGGAGATCAAAGCCCTGCAGCAGACCCGGAGGCTCCTGGCGAATGCCCGGGAGCGGACGCGCGTGCACACCATCAGCGCGGCCTTCGAGGCGCTCAGGAAGCAGGTACCACTGGAGTCTCCGCACCGTGGCGAAGTGGATGGGTGGGTGCGGGGCCAGGGGCCGTAGGCCCGGTTAGGGGACGTTTCAGCGGCTAGCTGTGAGCCCCAGGTCCAACTTGGCGCCCGGAGGAGTATGGGCAATCAGCGCTGCGGCGCATCTTGGTTTGTTAAGTGTGGTGAGGGTTGGAGATCTCTGGCCCCGGCCCACCCCAGCAGCTTGCCCCCAGGGAACCCGGTGTGCGCGCCTGACTTCAGCCCTCATCATTCACTTTTATGGCAGCGAGGATTTGTCTCCCGGAATTCCTTGGACGCGGTGGGGAACGGGAGCGGAGAGGCGGAACGTGGGAATCTGTCTCGGGCAGGGGGGAGGGGAGGACGACCCTTCTCCTCTGGGCATTTGGAGTGGTTGGGGTCTTGGCCCTCTGTTGGTGGCGGCGAGGAGAGCACTGTGGAGGTGCGGACCTGTGGTTGCTGGAGATTAAGGGACAGTCAGGAGCCAGTCAGCGTGCCTCTGGGCTCCTGGCCAAGCCTGCGCCCCCTCCCCAAGGGCAGCTTCTGCAGTTGGCTGGTGGGAGCTCCCAGGAGATCCCTTCTGCTGCCCTCCTCCCTGGTAAAGTAGGAGCTCTGCAAGGACCTGGCTGCTGCTGGTAGGGGTTTCCTTCCTGGGATCTTCAGAGCTAGTTTGGGGTGATTGGGGGCTTCTCATTCTAGGGCTGGTGGCCTGTTGGGTGGTGGACGAATACTTCACTCAGGAATTACTGCTCACAAAGAGGACAGTTTGCAATTTCACTTTAGACAAGCTGGGCACTGCCCTGGGTTCTAAGCTTCTCATTTGCTTAGAATGATTGGAAATCTAGAAGGGGGGTAGTAAATCTTCCACCCAAATCGTGGGGAGGGCTGGGATGGGTGTGATGGCTGATGAGTGAAGTTTTTTGCTTGCTGTGCAGCTGACTTGTTTTGGAAAGTTACTCACCCTCTCTGGGCTTTAGCCAACCACAACACATTTCAGAAAACAGAATCTTCTTTTTAGAATGCACTCTCTTCTTCCACCTGGGGGCAAGGAAGGGCAGCAGTGCTTGTGGGCATCTGGGCAAAGGACTTTGACTATCTGGGGGAAAAGGGCCCTATAGCTTCTGAGCCAAAGTGCCTTTCTTGAGTTTGAGAGAGCTCTGTGGTGAGTGAGATGGAGTGGGAGTCAGGTGGCTGTCACAGACCAGGCTAGGCCGCACCAGCTGGGACCCTGGGCAGGGGGCCCACTGGAGCCATCAGTCCCACCCTGGACTGGCAGCTCTGTGCCTGAATGCCTGGGTGGGGGTGGCAGCTTGTGAGGCGCCCTGCAGTCTGGTCCACAGGACTGGGATGACAGGAGGGCACCTGCTCACCTGGCGCCTGGGAAAGCCCCTCGAGTAGGAGGCCCCATGACCACAGCCTCCCAGCTGGTGAGAAGTGGGCAGGGTTGGCAGCTGGGTCCTTGGATGGCCAGAGCGGCGTCCTTTCTGCACTCCAGCTCGCTGCCTCCTTTGGTGCTGTGAGAGAGCGCACTGATGCTTTCCGAGTGTCTGCCACATGTCGCTGTTTTTCCTGTGGCTCTTGCTTCTCTCAACAGTAAATTCTTCTGGATCTCAGCAACATCCTGTTAGGACTGGATGAACTTATTTTGTAGAATGCAAAACTGGGGCCCAGAGAAGGAAGGGACTTGTCCAAGATGATCCAGTAGCTTAGGGACGATGGCAGTGTTTTCTAGAATGCGCCCTCTGAGCAGATGCTTCCCGTACTGGCACCTGAGTCAGTGTCCTGGGTGCTCTCCCACCCTGAGCTGCGGTGTTCGGAGTAACCCAGGCTGGGTGCTGCCCTCTGCAGACTCTGAGAGGAGACTCTTAGTCCTGGTCTCCTTTGCCCTGCACGCAGAGTTGTCTGTAAAAGGGTCAAATTCGGTGTGCTAGCAGGAGCAAGCCCGGGCCCTCTCAGGGAGAGTGTGTGCACCTACGTGCGGCTACACCCACCTGGGTGCACGCATAGGTCTTGCAGCCTTGTGTCTCGACTCGTGACCTCCTGGGCTCCGTGCTGTGCACCATGTCATCCTCCGGGTTCCAGTGTGCTGGTGCCTCTGTGGGCTGCTGGCTGCGTGCCGCTGTCCCACAGAGCTGGGTTGGATCAGGGTTAGGGAGTCGCTCCAGTGCCCTGGCTCTCAGCAGCTGCGCTCCTGAAGCCGTCTGGAACATGGGTGCTGTCCCCTTGCAGGAGTACATGGAGCCTGCCAGGCTCCTGTTTTGTCAGATCCACTATGGGAGGACCGGGAGGGAGCAGCGGCCTGCCGTGTGGCTGCAGGTGGGGGAGAGGCATCTGGGCTGGGGTGGAGTGTGCGGGGCAGGTGGTCAGGCCGCAGCACATGCCACCGGCCCAGCTGCACCAGAACTCTCCCCGCCGCCTCATGTGAAGGCCATGTGTGCACAGCTGGGCTGGCCCTGCGGGGCTCGCCTCCCCCAGCCAGGTGGGAGGGGTCCAGGGGAAGGCTCGCCTTGCTGGGATGGGGGGAGAGCCCAATCTGGGTGGCTTTGGGCTCCTGCAAGACCTCATGGCTCCTCAGCTGTGCCCAGCTTGAGCATCTGGCCTACCATGGATTTCCCATGGCCCCAGAGCCACTCGGTGGTGATGGAGGATGTGCAGTAGATATGGCAATGAAGACCTCAGGGGCTGTCTCACCCACAAAGTCGGCCCAAGTCGGTTCCTCTGACGTCACTGGACTCCGCCAGAGGGTCCATGCCCAGAGGACTCGGCACTTCCAGAGTGGACAGGGATGGTGGCCCCAGCTCAGGACCTTCCTTGCTTCCACATCCCCTGGGGTAAAAGACGGACACAGGGGACCCACAGCATTCTGTGCACATCGCCTGAGGCCATGGGGGACAGACCTGCTTGCTCTGGGGACTCCACACAGGTAGGAGAGGAGAGGGTGACAGAGGGCTGTCCTCTGCCCCCCTGTCACAGTCACCAGGGTGGCTGCCTGGTGAGCCTCACTGCACGGTCACTTCCTGGGGCCTGTTTTGTGTATCTGTATGATTGCCTTTCCATTTTACCATAGAGGACACTTAGAGGGTCCACAAATTGCTCAAGGTTACAGAGTGACCAGGACCTGTTTGCAGGCCTGTCTGGCCCTGGGCCATGGCTCTTAACCGTGGAGACCCAGGCTAGTGCCTGGGTCTTGTGGCTTTGTGGCAGTGTGGGAGGTTGGGGTTTGAAATAGACCTTGACAAGGACCCTGAACAGCTCCGGTAGAGTGGTTTTGCCCCGGGAATCCTGCACTCAGGGACACTCACAAGACGACCAGAGAACAGTTTCAGACAGAATCTCGTGCTCTTGGAGCCCTGTGGGCCCAGGAATCTTGGTGGGCTTCCAGGAGGGCATCTGGGGTGGCACTGATGAGCAGGCCGGGTTGGCACAGAAAGGAGAGGTTTTTGAGGCTTCTCGCATTCTCTGGTAGGTTCTGGACTTTGTTTCTTGATGGTACTCTCCCCTGTTGCCCACTGCAGTGCCATTTGGAGGCAGGAGTTGTTCTGCTGCCCATTTTATTGGTGAGGAAACTGAGGTCTTGTACAGTTAGGGTCCTGCCTAGGGTCAGGAGAATGGCCAGCGGTACGGCCAGACCCTCATGCTGCCAGGCCAGCATTATGCCTGCTTTTTCCTGCTTGCTGAAGCCAGTTGAGGGGGTAGTGTAGAATAGAGTCTTGGGGACACATGGGACCTTCTGAAAAGGCCCGGACCTGCTCCTTTGCACTTTAAACATCCTGTGGGATGAGCTCGAGCATATCCTGCAGGTTGTGGGTTGGCCGTGAAAGCCAGGTGGTCCTGCCTCCTCCTTGGGCCAGTGTCCTCTGACTGCGGTAGGGTGACCACTGAGGGGTCCTCTGCAGGCCCAGAACACTCCAGCCCCAGCTCCGATGGTGGGCTGCCTACCACCCCGCTTTAGGCTACAGTGGAGTCCCCAGGAAGTTTCTGCTGCTGAATGGAAAGAGCCCTGCTAAGCCACAAGGTCAAAACCAGCTGAGACCAGGGAGCTGTCACATGCCTGGGGGGGGTCACCAGATTCTTCGTAGAGCGGAAGTGATCATTTCTATCTCAGCTGGCTGCTTATAGGGTGAATATCAACAGTGTGTTTGAGACAGCACCCTCTGCCTGGGCTTCGTACAAGGGCACTGGACTCACAGTCGGGGGCACCTCTGCTTCTTGGACTCTGGCCGCTCGGCACAGTCCCTGCAGCTCGGTGAGGTACACAGGCATTGTTGTCCCCTCTCTGCTAGGGGAGGAAACCAAGGCTCAGAGAGGTGAAGGCCTACGTCTCAAACCCCAGTCCTGGGAAGTGCCTGGGATTCAGAGCAGCCCTTTCTGCCTCCCCTCACCTTCCAGAGGCAGAAGGAGTCACTGACCCTTGTGTTGCAGGGCAGTCCCCACAGGGGGCCTCTGAGCTGGGCTGTCGGGAGCTGGGGGGCTGCGTTTGGGGGCACAGGCACCAGGAGGATCTGGAGGCCCAGCTGAGCTGAGGAGCAAGCCCCTGGGGACAGGGAGGGAGAGATGAACTGCCCAAAAGGTGCCCAGTTGTCCCCAAATGTGGGAGTGGGAGCCAGAGAGCCCTGTGGCTCGTACCTTCCCTGTGTGCTGGTCAGAGGAGCTTCTGGCTGCAGGCAGGTCTCGGTAGAGTGATCCAGGGCCCGATGTGTCACCTGTTTCCTCCTGTGCAGATGGGACATTCATCTTTATCTAGGGGAGGTTTTAAGTGGGATAACAACACCTGTGAGTAGATGCCGCGGTGCCAGAGAGACAGGAGCTCAATCGACACTTTTTTCTGGTTAGATCTGGAGCTTGGCAGAAGCATCGGGACAGAGTGACAAATCTGGGACAGAACTGGCCTGGGACTTGGCATGAGGCTCCTGGGTCAGCCTTGGCCTCCCTTGTTGCTCTGCATTCGGGCAGTGACCCGGGGTCACACACACACAGCTCCCGAGATCCCTGCTCCCTCCTGGAGCCCAACTGTTCCGGCCCCGGGTGCACAGGGCTGGCTGTTCAAGGGAGACCCCCAAAGTGACCTCTGGGTGACAACAGCGCTGTGTGGTGCCCAGTCCCCACCCCCACCCCCAAAGGCAGGCGTTACCACCCCTGGGTGAGGTGCAGGCAGAGGTGCTGGGCGGGCCCTGGAGACCCCTTCCCTGCTCCAGGACTGCCAGATCTTGTTTATTTGTTCAGGCTGATAAAGCAGAGTTTTCTGGACTCTGGCTAGGAACAGGCAAAGCGTGCTGTTCTGCCAGATTTTCTTGGATGGTTTTGGAGATGCTGCCAGGCCCGGGAAGGGGGCTGCAGGGGCCTTGGCTCTCTCTCTGTCGCTTCCCACCCTACCCTGTGTTTCCCAGTCTCAGAGCCCCCACCTGGTGAGCAGGGGCGGGCACCGTGCCTGGCTGCAGATCTCCTCCTTCCCACCCCTCTCTGGAGCCCCTCTTCTGCCACACCCCCCATCACCATTTTGCTGGTTTCTACAGCCATGCCCTTCTATGCAATAGCATGAAGAAACTGAGGCTCAGCGAGGCTTGGTCACTTGCCCAGGGTCTTACAGCTTGGCTGAGCTAGAGCCAGGGGTTGGACCCGGGCGACAGAAAGGCATGTGTGCTTTGGCTCTGTGTCCTCAGAGAATGAGAGATTTTTGAACTTGGTTCAAAACATCCCGGAGTCACCTGGTGACTGTTGAGAGAGATGATCCATGTGTTCACCGGTTTCCTCACCCAACCTGTCCTCTCCAGGGCCTGCTGTGCCGGGCTTCCCCCAAGCTCACAGGGACCTGGTCAGCAAGGGAGCCCCAGGAACAGGGAGTTAAGGACAGAGGGTGCCTTTAGAGTTCCGTGAAGGGCAGGCCAGCCTCTTGGTGTAGGGCAGGCGTGGGCAGGTCAGCAAAAACTGCACAGAGTGAGGTGGAAAGTGGGGTCAGAGTGAGTGATGCCGTGAGGGTCCCCAATCTGAGGTGACAGTCTTGCCCATGCGTAATCCATAGGCCGCAGAACAGAGATGTTCATCACTGGGATTCTGGGCCAGGAATTCTTCAAAGACCTAAGCTTTGGTTCCTACAGGGTGTTGTAGGACCCCATACACTAGAGTGTTGAGAAGCCACCTCTCCAATCAACCTGCTCCCCTGTGGTCACCACCAAGAATGTCTCCAGGCATTGAGCAGTGTCCCTTAGAGGGAAAATCTTCCCTGGTTGGGAGCCACTGGCCTTGAAGAGAGGTTGGAGTATGCGGTGCTCCCTGAACACTCGTGCGGATGTGCTGTGTGGTCCTTACTCAGCGGGTATGATTTGGTCATGGATATAGGGGCTGCATATAGATCCCAAGAGCCCCAACAGGGGAAACTGGTGTCAGACGCTATGAAGCGGGAGCATGTTGGACACTGAGGTGAACAGCACTTCATAGGGACAGGAAGTCTGTGGGTTAGCTCTGGTCAGAGGGGTTTTGCGATGTTTCGGCGTTCCAGCCCCACGCCATGTTCAAGTGTGCTGCAGTCTTCCTGACTCTCCGTGCTGCAGCACATGTGTTGGTGGAGAGTTCAGAAGTGAGAGGCTCCATCTCTCCCTGGGTAAATCCTTGGTAGCTAGTAGCTAGTCGGTGCTGAATGACAGACAAGTGGGTCGAGTGTGGCTGGGTCTGTTGGTATTTATTACGCACCTGCATATCCCATACCTGGCAGTACTCTGCGTCCAGGGTGTGTATAGAAAAAGAGAAGAAGTCATCACATCTTTTTTGTTTTTCTGGCTGAGTAGAGCCCTACTCCTCTGGCTGTCTCCAGGGACCTCTCTCTGTTATGACTTTATGATTTTGTGCTCATGTTTAAGTTCTTTGAAGGCAGGAGTCAGCTTTTTCATTTTGAACTGAAGATTTTTTTTTTTGGTTTGGTTTTTCTCCGGTACTGGGAACCGAACTCACGGCCTTGCGCTTGCCAGGCAGGCGCTTTGCTGCTGAGCTAAATCCCCAGCCCCAGCTTTTTCATTTTGGATCCCTAAGTGCTCAGCAAAATAAATGTCACTGAAAGAATGAATGGAACATTAGAGCTAAAAAATAATCTGTTCCCTCAGAGAGACGCCTTCTTAGAGAGGCAAGCAGACAGAGCTCTGTCAGGGTGGAAACTGACAGGGCTACACTTCGGGTTGACTCTCAGGTTGAGCTGAGCCTCCCTGTCTTCTCCTGCACAGTGGGAACATGGACACGTCCCCAAGTGTGAGGATGAGCTGAGATGTGTGTGTGAACTGCAGGTGCTTAGCACAGATCATAAAATCAGGGCCCAGGGCCCAGATACACCTCAGGCAGGTACCTCAGGCCGGGGTAGGTGGGTGGGGTACATGCTCAGTGCAGAGGCCCCTGCAGCCCCTCTGACTCTGTCTCCCCACCACCCCCAGGTGCCGTGCTACTCATATGGGCAGAAGCTGTCCAAACTGGCCATCCTGAGGATCGCCTGTAACTACATCCTGTCCCTGGCACGGCTGGCTGACCTCGACTACAGTGCCGACCACAGCAACCTCAGCTTCTCCGAATGTGTCCAGCGCTGCACCCGCACCCTGCAGGCCGAGGGACGTGCCAAGAAGCGCAAGGTACAGGCCAGTGCTCGGGCAGCTGCCCCCGGGAGTACACGGGAGGCGGGAATGGAAATTTAGGGACATACCACATGTGCTCAGGACTTCACAGAGCCACAGAGATCCGTGTGTTGGAATTTTCTGGGGGTCCCCAGCTTCAGGGATCCTCAAAGCCCTGGGATCCTGGGTGGGACGCTGCCCCAGGAATGGAGTTGCTGGGTGACTGGGCGGTGACCGGTGTCTCTGGGGCTCCTCATCACTTAGAAGAGGAGGATTTTTTTTTTTTTAATCCCAGAAGCACTTTCTGGCTGAATGTGCTCTGGTGCTGAGTGCCCTGCATGGTCCCTGACAGGTGTTGTATGTGGGTGAGAGTCCCCTGAGCAGGGTGACAGCCCAGGAGAAACCTCCACAGAGTCTGAGGACTTGATTAGGCCTGCAGGTTATATGAGTGCATTAATTTGCGTGCTAGTCATCGATTCATTCACTCATTCTAGAGAGATTTACGGAGCCCGGCTGTCAGCTGAGCAACCTGGGCAGGGGTATAAAGATGGCAGCTATGTGGTCCTGGTCCCCATGCAGCGCACCGGATGGTCAGAAAGACCCTTCCACGAGTGGATAGGGGGGCTGCCCTTGTGGCTTGTCCTGGGGTGGGGGAAGGCCAGCTAGAGGAGGTAGAGAGTAACTCTCCTGCCCAAGGGAGTTCCAGACGGCATCTTAGTGGAAAGTGGTGTTTGAGCCGGAACAAGCAGAACAACTCGGAGGCCACCGGCAGACAAAGCAGAGAACAGCATCTGAGGCAGAGGGAATGGCCTGTACAAAGCCTGATGTGTTTGAGGAAGTCGTTGCAGGAGGACAGGGATTGCTCACAGTCACCATTTGCTAGATGACAACGCTTTGGGCATCTCCGGTCTGGATCTCTGGTCCCAGGTGACCGGAGGGAGAAAGGCAGAGAACAGGACTGCTGTGTGTCTGCATCTCTGTGGAGATGCCCTGCAGCCCTGGGCACCCAGCTTTTGGGGCCTCTGCCCTCCTCCATCCAGTCCTTCCTGGCCTGCCCCTCCCCCAGGTCCCTCTGTGGATCCCCAGGCTTCTGGGCCCCCAGTCGGCTTGGCCCTGCATGGACTGCACGGGCAACTGCTTCTGTGGTAATTGCACGCTGCATTCCTGGGGGTGATTTCACATGGACCAATTAGAAGAAATCCTCATCAAGTGGGTGAAAGAGGAAGCGCAGGGCGGCTTTCCTCCTGGAGAGCGACGCGGGTAAACGAAGGGCAAGATTGATGGCTCCCTGCTGTGCTCCATGACAAAGGAGGTTTGTAAACTCTCCATGAACTCCTTGGCATCCAGCCGCCCGGGCAGCAGGGGCAGGCGCACTGCGTCCTCTCCCTGCCACCCCCGCCCACCCACCAAAGGTTGCAGGTGCCGCCCCTCCCGCCGCTGGTGCTTGATTGGAGCTGACAGCCTCCTAGACAAAGGAGAGGCAGGATGCCAGGCCTGCCAGGCTGGAGGTGAGGGAGGAAGTGAGGATGCCCCGCAGAGCTATGCTTTGGCTTCCTCTGAAATCTTAGAGATGCTGAGTTGTGCAGATGGGGTGGCGGCGGTGGCGGCGGCAGGTGGTGGGTAAGGTACCCATGGGAGCGTCTGGGCAGGTGTCTGGCAGGAAGGGGGCACCCACGGTGCCCTTGGCCTCCTGCTGCCTCCTGCCCTGAGGGGAGTGAGCCTCTAATGTTTGCGCCCTGAACTTGAACTGCCTTCCAGGGGGCTTTTGCCTAGAGATGGGAATCCAGGAGGAAATGTCTCTTCCCCTCGCCCTCCCACCCCTCCCCTGCCCACCGCAGCCTGGTGTGGGAACCGGAGATGGGCCAGGTCTGAGGGTCTTTCCTGTCTCCCGGCCCTGTCTTCCAGTGTAGGCTGTGAGGTCACTGAGCAGGGACTGTGGGAAGTGGGGTCCCTCTGTCTTTGCCCTGAGGACCCCCCTTCTCTCATGGACTTTAAATCATACCCACAGTGACACATTTTTCCTGTGAAAAAGCTCAGGATACCCGGATGTCCCTGGGTCTCCCCTCAGAAACCAGTGTTTGTAATGCAAAACTCCCAGGCCCCCTGCCCGGTTCAGGAGCTTTGCAGTGGACAACCACTCCTTCCCGCTCTGGGCGTCCCTTGGAACCTTTGGCCCCTGTCACCCATCTTCTGGGCTCCTGAATTCCTCCCTCCCTCCCTGGTCTGTCGCAGTCTGGCTTGGCTGCCCCCCTTGTCCCTTCGTTGGGGCACCAATGTGAAGCTAGTCGGGGAGGCAGGAGCGTCAGATGTTCTGCCTGGGAGCTGGGCAGCCAGGAGCCCTCGGGAAGGTGTTCCCTGCCTGCTGGGCCGGGAGAGCTGCCCTGCCCTTCTTTCCAGGGCATGTGGATGTCTGCAGTGTAGATTCCTCCTGGTTGTTGAATTGCAGCTCGAACCTCACTGGCTCTTTTGATCTCCCTTGTGGTCTCTCATCCGGGGCCCTTGAGGCCCACCCCTGCTTACCGAGGTTCTGTCGGAGGAGCCCACATGTATTTCCGCGGGACAGTAGATGGCACCTGGGTGGTGACAGGTAGAAGCAACTGGGGTCATGCTCCGCCCGCCGTACTCAGCTCTGCCACACACAGCCTGGCCCAGGAGGGGTCAGGGCTAGAGCGGGGGTCTGAAGGTCTCCTCAGCACAGTCCTTCCCTCCCTCCCCTTTCCCGCTTGCTCTCTCCTTCTCTCCTCTCCGTCCCTCCCTTCTGTGCCAGCTATAAAGTACCCTGTTGGTGCCAGACACAGTGCAGGTACAAAGCCGTTTACCCCATGACTGCTGCCGCCCAGCAGCAACTACACACTGTGGTCTAGACGAGAGCCTTTGGAACCAGAAGCACCAGGGTGAAGAACAGCAGCGGCAAACTTCAGGAAGCCGTGGACGGGTGGGGTCTGGGTGGGTGGAGGGTGGGGGGGCCCTGTGCTCAGCTGGGGTACGGTGGGGGCCTGGGAGAGGCTGGACCTCTGACAGGGTCTGCTCTGCCCTTGCTGGTTCTGGAGGAGAACAGGCACTGCGCTGCCACCCTGCCCTTGCCACTGGCATCCCCTTCAAGAAGGTCCAGGGACCGGGTGCTTGGGCCCAGCTTGGCTCTCAAGTGCGTTCGTCCAGGTCTCTTCCTCTTACAAAGCTCCTCCTGCCAGCTCGGGGACCTGCCTGAGGACCTCACTAATCCTTACCTCTGGAAGGCCTCACCTCCAAACACCATTCACATGTTTATTGGGGGATTAAGTTTCCAACCCTTGAACTGGGGGCGCCCTCCACAGCTCAGCTGCGTTTCACTGCCCCCCCCCCAAGCCTTCATTGAAGAAGTAGCTCTGGTGTCAGGGACAGGCCACCAGGCAGGGCTGCAGAAGGCTGGGGCAAAGGTCGGGGCTGTCAGGCTGTGGACAGATGGCTGCTCTGGCCGCTGTGCTGCCAATGGCCGTCCCCAGAGTGACTGATGGCAGACAGTGTCCCGCTCAGGACTCCTGCCTTAGAGAGGCTGGGCCACCCGCCTGCAGGACCGCTCCTGGAGTGGCTGAGCTCGGTGTCTGAGGAGCTGCCCTGTCCCTCCAGGTCTGTGTTAAGCACAGGACGGAAATGGACTTGGTTTCTTCCTGGGCCCCAGCTGCACTCTTCTGCCCATCTCAGCCTTCCCGGCTGTGGGGAAGAACCCCAGCCTCGACCAGAAGTCCTCTCTTCTGCGCCCACAGGACAGTGAGTCTGGAAGTCCTGGCAGTGCAGAGGCCCGTGCCCCAGGCTGCCCGGCAGAGAGACCAGGTGGGGAGCGCAAGGCTCTGGAGACGAAGCAGCTAAGCCCCTGGTGCTGGGCACATTTCTGCTGCTCCGGTTTTTAAAGCAGCAACTCCTGGCTCTGAGGATGGCCCCTGAGGATGAGGGAGGCAGGAAGGGAGAGGAGAAGGAGAGGGAGAAAGAGGTGGGGAAGAGAGGAGGACGATGGAGGAGAGGGTCAATCTGTACTTCCATACCTGGGCTCCAAGGACCCTGCCAGGCCCACAGCCTCTGGGACCCTCTTCCAGCGATCTCTAGCCATGGAGTAACAATAGCTACTACCGAAGTTGGTGCTGTCCTGAGAGCCTTGCTTGTGAATGGCCATGAAGTCCCAGCCCTTGAGTTGCTCACAGGTCCCAGGGTTGGGGACGGGACCGACAGCGATGCACTGAGCGTGGGCTGTACCCGGGAACTGGCCAGCAAGCGGGGCCCCGGCCAGGTGATGTTGAGCAGGTGCAGCTCTGTGGCCTCTATCTTCCCTCCGTTCCCCGCTGCTTTCTGGAGAGGGGCTGCTTTGTGTGGTGACGGCAGGTCCGAGGTGGCTGGCTCCTCTGCAAGAATGCCTTGGGTACAGGCTCTTGTAGCTTTAGGGCTGGGACAGGCTAAGGTGGTGAATTGGTTTGGGGTGGGTGGTTTTAGGTTGGTGTGGGCTGGGGGTGCCCGAGGGACCCCTTGCTGTATAGATAGCTGAGCCTGGGCAGGACTCGGGAGCACCTGCCCCTTCTCTTGCCCCAGAGCCCCTGGCGAGGCAGAACCCTGCCCTGGCTGTGTGGCCCCCTGGGGCATCCACCAAAGGTACCAGGGGTCTCCCCTTGGCCTTTCTGTCTGCCTCAGCAGCCGGCCTGTGCTGTGTCCCTTCTGTGCACCGAGGTCATTCCACACGGATGTGAAGGCTGTTCAGAGGCCATTGGAAATTCACCTGATGTCCCCAGAGCCTGGATCACATGCCAGGTGCTGGCCAGGCATTTCCCAACGTGTCACCTCCCTGGCCCCTGCCACCAGCCCTCCCCGAGCGCAGATGATGAACCGAGTCTGCGAGCTGAGGAACTTGCCCCGGGTCACTCCGTCAGCCAGGTGCCCGTCCTGCCACTCTGCTGCCTCCCACATGGAAGCAGAGTGGGCGGGCGTGGCCTGTACTTCCAGTCCTGCGGGCCCATGATTGTGTTAAATACCATTTGCTCTCAAAGCCCTCGGCG